TGCCAACTCATTTCAGGCAGCAATTTCGTCAAAAAATTTACGCGACATTATTCGTTTCTTCAAAGGCACAAGAAAAACATTTGCTTATGTCTGTTATAAACTTAATTTACATATAAGACACCACCTTGATAAACACCTCCAAAGGATACCTTATCAACTAGGCTGTGATTCATACGTCAGGCTGCGAGCAGCCGCATCCAACGGCCTGGTTGACCAGTCCTGTAACCAGGCCTGGACGGGTACCGGGCGGCGGAAAAGTTGATCCCCGAAATCATTGCAAGGTAACCGCAAGTTAAAATCTGAAATATCCAAGTTACGGCATGTAAACTGGGAATTTGTAATACAATGCCTGTTCCCTGTTGGGAGCCGGTCGGCCGAGCGGACAGCACACTGGACTTGTGATCCTGTGGTCCCGGGTTCGATCCCGGGCGCCGGCGAGAAACAATGAGCAGTTTCTTTCACATTATGCCCCTGTTACCTAGCAGTAAAATAAGTACCTGGGTGTTAGTCAGCTGTCACGGGCTGCTTCCTGGGGGTGGAGGCCTGGTCAAGGACCGGGCCGCGGGGACACTAATGCCCGAAATCATCTCAAGATAACCTCAAGATAGGTCGATGATAACATCAAGGTGAATATTATTGCATGATAATGAATTGGATAATGAAACTCCCAAACGTTTCGGGTTAAAAACGCGCAACATTTATATAAAATTAAATCGTGTATTTTTTTTAACTATCGGCGTTACAACTCGACACTAAAAAAAACACGCAATGTAAATAGAGCCACGTGAACTATTTAGGTCGGTCTGATAAAGCTGAAATCAACGACTTCCTAAGCGTTGTATTTTCCTGGTTCGCTCACACCTGGCGCCTGAAGGCCGAGCTTTAAAATATTTACCCTTAAAGCAGAATGCCGTAAAAATGGCTTACGCAACTTGCATTGTAGCCACGGCCGCAATACTGACCGTTCTCTCCAGCGTTTCCAACGTCCCTATTGTACTAAATTGCCCGAACCTAAGGCCATCCTCCTAAGGTTTCCCAACGTCAAGAAACTGTCAGTGTAAAGTGTCTCCTCCTAACTTACCAGAGGACCCAAAACAGAAAACGGGACACTTTAAATTTCGCGAACCGCAACCATTTTTAGCACATCAATTTTTGGCCTTAAGGAAGTTCAGTCAAAATGCGATGTACAGTATTATTCAGGAGAACGGGTTGATGCTGCGTGTGGTGATTTGTTTTCATTTTTCCTAGTGAAAAAACAAAACGCCTATCCAAATATGAGATACAGGCCTGTACCTTCCTAAATCAATCTGTTTTGTGGTAGTGATTCCAGTCCCAAAAATACGAGGCTCGTGATAAGAGCAATTTTCCCCTTGTTGAAGATAGTCTAGTTCAAAACAGAAGCGTTGAACCCGTTTTCACAATGCTATTTTGATTAGTTTTAGCCTAGCCCTCGGGATAGGTAATGAAAACCCTTAAATTATTCGAATATTCGTTCTTCAAAGAAGGATTTACCTGCACATCTCCTGTGCCAGGTGAGTACGACGGGATCACCATATAACGTGCTGCTTGGAACGTTTTGTTCAGTGACTGAATCTAAAAGAACAAGGATTTACTATTATCTGTTTCTTATCCAATCCTCACTAGCACAGGGAAAAGGAGTGACGAAATCGGTTTATCTGCCTAATATGATAGGCACTTATAGTAATTGTCAAACGTATCAATGTGTACTGTTGGACCCTCAAAAGTTCAAGTTTTATGAAGTGGCCCAAATGGTAGACTAGAAAATCGTTAATGCAACTAAAGAACCTACCCTACCTTAAGGATGTTAGGCTTTTATAAACGTTATTTTAGCACATGTACTAAATGTGTGTGTGTGTTAAACTAGGTCTAGGAATGTTAATATTTGGCTTTATAATTTTTCTCAGGCTATAAAATTAATACTGTATTACAAAACTAACTTTTGGGGGGTCCAATAGGATATGTGTTACGTTTGACCAAATAGATGCTATAAGTATCATTTTAGGAAAATGGGTTGAAAGTAATTTCAATCATCAGGCGTTGCCTTTGATTCGAATCCAGGTCTACAAATATTTGAAACTAGTTTCGTTTTAAGAGAATTTATAAAACCATATACAGAATACTATTGTACCGAGTTAGGTTAATTAGTTGGATATTTAAAGCAAAACTAACATTTATTTATTACAATATTACTAAATGCAATTTGAAAGAAAACAGTATTCTAGTTTAAATAAATGGGCCGAGGTGTGCTGCTCACAGTAATGAACGTAGTACCAAAGCAAGAAAATAAGACAGTAGTCACTGTTATGGGTGAAATAGTGTAAAATCATGTCAAATGTTACATTTACCAATGGATGTAACCAGGGGCGGTAGTTTGTCAGCAGCAATACGAGTAGGAAAATCATGCAAATCATAATATAAAGCACGAGTAGCTTTGATTTTTCACGCTTCACGATTTTTCCCACATGCAGAGACCCAGCCT